TTCAACTTTTCTTCTTGGGTTTTTAACATGAAAAGTGTTATCCCTTTTGATTTAGGTTTTTCCATGAAAATTTTTGGGATTATTTTAAATCCTTCATTTCTATCTACAATATTTCGCCTACTACAGACTGATATTATAGTATCTTGTAGATCCTTGAGTTGTGTTTGAATCTTATAAAATTTTTTATCTATATCATTTTCTAGTTGTGGAATTATTCTGTTATACATTTTTAAGCTTTTATTGGAAATTTTTCAGCGATTACTTTTAATATCTTGAAAATTTCTTCTATTTTGATTTCTATCTCTCTTACTCGAGATATCAGAGTCTTTGAGTCTTTAATAGACCTTATTTCTTCTTTTATTTCTTTTAAATTTCTAGAGTTTTTAACATTATTTATTCTTTCCTTAATAGAATCAAATTCTTGAGAAAGGGATTTTCCCATTTCTTTAATTGTTCTTAGGGTATTTTCATTAATTGTTTCTATTTTTAGAATATTATCTATGATAATTGTATCTTCTATATCAATTATACTTTTTCTTACTGTATTGAGTAAATACATGTTAATTTGATTTATTTGTTCATTGCTCATGCTGATAGAAGTTTGTTAATAATATTTTTTAATGTATTTATTCTTTCTCTTTTTGTTCTTATTTTGTAATTAAGAGTTTTAATTCTTATTGTACTTTCAATACTTACTTCTAGAGCTTCTCTTTCTAAGTTCGCTAGGTTTCTCTCTTCGAATTGAGCTAGTTGCTTAATTTCATCACAAATTTTAACTAATCTATCTCTATAGAGTATTACTTGATTCATTATATTTTATTGGGATTATAGTGTCATTTTTTTAAAACTTAGATGACTGTTCTATTTTAATTCTAACTTGATTTTTCCGTTAAAACTAATAACAATCTTATATGGTAGACCATTTTGAAATATTTTTCAAAGTTTATAGACCACTTTGAAATAAAACATATTTTCTAGACTAAAATGAAATCAAGTTGATAGTTAATAGACTAATTTTTGAATTAAGCCGAAAATCCTTGATCTAAGTGGCAATGACTAGAATATTAGTGTCTTAACATGTTTGAGTGAACTTTCATCTCTCAATTCCCTGAGACTAACATATTGCAACTTATTGATAGCATTAAACCATCAAGATGGTTAAATTTTAACAAATTTTATTATATGTTTACTAGAGATGATATAATATTGATTATTTTAAATAAAGACTTTATACTTTGAATTGTTAATTTGTAGGAGCTGATTTTGAAAAGTTGTCAAGACTTCACCATTTGGAATTTCTCGACTTAAGTAATAATATGCACTTAAACAACAACATTCTATCATATTTAAGTACTTTTTCATCTCTAAAACTGTAATCCTGTCCAATTGTAGACTAAATGGGACTTTGAGTATAAGAGATAATTAAGCTTGCTTTCACCCATTTTCATTTTTATTATATTTTTTCCTTAAAAAGCTGTGTTATCTTGTAATATTTTATTGGAATTAAATATATTTTTTGTTCTTTTATTTTGATGTTGAGTTTACACAGAATTGAGTAATCTAAGGAACTTAAAGGCGTTAGACATAAACTCTAAATAACATTGAAAGCCTTGAATCTTCCTGAGATACATATATTTTGTTTCCTAAGTTAAAATTTAATATTAACAAAATTAGTTGCAATGAGATTATATATAATTTTGGCAGGTAAACAAAATTTGAGATTTTTCCATCTAGAGGTTCTTTATTTGAGCAATAATTTCTTCAACAATAGTGTGCTTTTCGTCAATGAATTTTCAAATCTAAAATCTTTGACTATAAGTGAAAACAATCTAAAAGGATTAGTAGATCTCACAAGTAAGTTGAGGCATCCTTTAATCATCTTTTTCTTTGCTAAAACATTAAAAGAAGTCTATTTATTACTTGTGTGTGATCCAATAACTTTCTTTGTGATTCCCCTAGAATTTAATGCTTTAACATGCTTGGAAGAGCTATGCATGAGCTACAACAATCTCAACCAATTCGTTTCCACTAATGCTATTGTTGAAATGATATTGTAACTATATGTTTGTTTTATTTTCCGTTTTGATAGAGACGTATCTTTCAATTATTTACATGTTTTGTTCAAAACTCTTCAACATAATCTTCATTTTCTTTTTATCATTCACAATAAATACAAGCTTCAGCAAGTTAAAAACTCTCTATCTTAATGGAATATTTCCCAAGAAAGCAATGTGCAAGCTCAGTTATCACTAAAGGCATTCCCATCACTTAAGAAACTTTATTTGTCATATAATTGTCATTTAAACCAAACCATGTTTATTCAAAGTAAGTATTGTAGTGATGGCATTCTAAAATATTATTGCTCACGTTTTGTAAATCAATTTCTATATACTCATAATTTTTTTTCTTTTAGCAACACATATTCATAACAAATATGATAACCATTTTGTAGCTTCACAAGTTTTGAGTGATCTAGAGGAGCTTTCCTTGGATAATTCCCCTCTTAGCATAAACCTTCTACAATGTATTGTTGTATTGACTTCTCTCAAGTCAATATCTCTAAGAAATTGTGGGTTTACAAGGAACCTTACCAAGTCAAGGTTGGTGTGATTTGGGGAAACTTGAAGAGACGGATCTTTTTGGAAATGAATTAGTAGGGAGATTGCCTTCTTGCTTGGTTAACTTGACATCTCTTCAACTTTTGGATATCTCCCAAAATCTATTAACTGTAAATGTTGCGTCCTTTCCCTTAATTGATCTTATTTTGCTCTGATATCTCTCAATTTCGAATAATAAATTTCAAGTTCCAGATTCATTCATGTCTTTTGCAAACCATTCCAACCTTAAAATCTTGTTGAGTGATTTCAATCAATTGGTTCCAGAACATGATCATGTTTAAACAAGGGTTCTCAAGTTCCAACCAAGAGTCTTTAGTTTGTCAAACTCTAGGGCAAATGAAGAACTCACCAAACCTCCTAGCCTTCTTTATTACTTGTATGACTTGAGATATGTCAATCTTTCACTTTACAAATTTAAGGGAGCCTCACCTTAAATTTCCCCCCTAATCTTGATGTTTTGGCAATAGATATTTTGAATAATCAAATACAAGGTGAAATCCCATTAAATATCAGTATGATTTTTCCATCTTTAATAGGCTTATTCTTGTCTAGAAATGGCTTTGGAGGAAAAATTTCCAAGTGGTTGGTTGGTATGAACTCTTTAATAGTTTTAGACTTGTCAAGCAATCGATTCTTTGGAACATTACCAAAAGAGTTTGTTTCAGGAAGGTCATTATATATTCTTAGACTTTCAAATGACAACCTGATCGGGAAGATACCTCCTAGTGCATTTAAGTCTCAATCATTGAATGCATTGTATCTAGACAGAAACAATTTTGAAGGAGAGATATCCAATGTCCAAGTTTCTAGCTTTTCAAATCTACAAACATTGGACATTATCAACAACAATTTGTTAGGAGAGCTTCCAAGGTGGACAAAGAATTTCACTAGTTTGATTGAATTGGATTTGTCCAACAATCACTTTGAGGGTTCAATTCTAGAGGAATTTTGCTATAATACTAGGCTTGTGCTTCTAGACTTGTCTCACAACAATTTATCTCGGTCTATACCACATTGCTTTAGTCCACCTTTACCATACTTATCACATATCAATTTGAGCTAAATTGGACTAAAGGGTTCATTAACACATTCATTCTTGAGCATCTCTTTAATGTTGATACTAGATCTTGGAGAAAACAGCCTTTTTGGAAGCATTCCAAATGGGATCG